TTTTGATTTTTTATTAGAAAATGGATATATGATGTTAGATCTATTAGTTTTAGGTAAAATCCAATTGAAAACGAGTTAAAATACAGAAAAATGAGCTATAAAGTGGCTGGCCGCCATTGATAGTATTTGAGAGAAGATTGGTGTTGTGGAGAAGATGAAAGATAAATTACGATTTTATCCTTTATTGAATAAATCTACCACTACTATCTATAAACAAGTCTAAGGTTGCTTTAGTAAAAAAGTGAAAAGATTGAATAAATCTACCATTACAATAAATAAGTCTACCACATATTATAACTCTACCATTATTATAAATAAGTCTACGATTACACGAACCATCAATAAGTCTACCGATCACAAAATAACTCTACCACAACTACTAATAAGTCTATCACTCAAAAATAAATCTACCACTACTATAAATAAATCTACGACTGCGCGAACCATCAATAAATCTACCGATCACAAAAATCAACTCTACCACCACTAGAAATAAGTCTACCAATCACAAAATTAACTCTATCACTACGAGAAATAAGTCTACCACATATTATAAATCTACCACTACTATAAATAAGTCTACGATTGCGCGAACAATCAGTAAGTCTAACGATCACAAAATTAACTCTACCACTACTAGAAATAAGTCTACCACATATTATAAATCTACCACTACTATAAATAATTCTACCATTGCGCGAACCATCAGTAAGTCTACCAACCACTTAATAAATCTACCAATCGTAAATAAATCTACCATCACATGAACGGTATACTTATTCGCTGCCTCATTAATGGCAATTTCGTAAATACGTTTTTTCTCGTCAAAGGAAATAAGGCTAAAACGGGTATTAATAATTTTTCAAAATTATTTGAGTAATTTTCAAATAATAACATCATTTTGGTCAGAAATCAACTTTCTAAGGTTGTTTTAGTAAAGCTCTCTATTATATATTAAAAAAATTGATGGCAAAGCATAAAGATTGGTTTGATAGCTAATAGTGACACCTTTAGCTTTATAATATAGTCCATTTAGTAATGATTTTCTTATAAAGTTTGTAGTTATTAGTGGATTGCGATGGACGACAAAAAAACAAAATTTATTGGATTGCGAACTTAGTATTCAAGTATCAAACATATCTATTTCAAACCTCTTAACTAAAATTTTAATAGAAAAGTCCATGAACTAAATGATATTAATGAAATAAACTGTGTGCTTTGTGGAATTTAAACCACGCAGCTTTCACGAAATATTTCCACTTGTCCACTTTGATCATCTTGTGATTTATGTTTTCCACAGGAACCAACCGTGACTTTGAACCGCCTGGAGATGCACCAATATCAGTAGCTTTCCAGCCTTACTGGCTTCCTCCCGCTGCTATCTAATTCAGATTTGGCTACTCGGTAAATTAAGACCATCTAACTAGGCTATGGTCCCTTTTGTTCACCAACACCATCACCGCAACAATTTCAATGATTAATGATCAATAATTAATTAGTCATTAGTAGAACTAAACCCATTACCCATTGGCTTCCAAAGCAGACCCCGATGTTATTCCTCTGCCTCCATTTTCTACTTTGCCTTGTTACCAAACTGAATTGGTGAGAGATGTTGTAGTGTCCTGTGTCTCTCCTTTTGCGGAACAAGACTTTGTGGTTGCTATCTTTGGGTAGTCAGATTAGTTTTTGTAGGCCTTTCTCTGGACAAACCTCGAACCTCCGTTTCGCTCCATGGATTACTCAAAGCTGATGTATTCCAAAAGAGACTGGTCCTTCTATTTGCCTAGTCCTGGAAGCTCCTGCTTGTTCAAATGGGACCTCAATTTCAAGCACGAAGGAGAATTGAGTTCCGCAAGCTGGTGATTTGTGAGTCTCCCAAGTTGTCACAATCCGAGTATGAGTTGGTGGATTCATGTTTCATAGAGAATTAAGTTTCGCAGCTATGTGTCACTCAACGATGATTTTAATGAACACATCAGTTAAATCAACCAATCAACACATTTCAATTAATTCTATATGTTATGTTGGAAATGTCTACATATTTACATTTTTTTAACATGAACTCACATATAAATATGTTACTAATTTAAATCCTACTAAAATATAACATTTTAAATGTTATATAACATAATGTTTTAATGATGAGTCATTTACCGATGTCAATTACTTTATAAAAATTATATTTATGTACATTTAGATACCATATGTGATTGATCATACAG